ATTGACATGAGATTCAAATTAAATCTCACCCTATAAATCAGAAAGTACTCCACCAAGGGAAGGACTCATCACTCTGCAGGCAGGATTTACCATCCCGCTGGCCAGATGCCCCTTTTGTCTCTCTCGGGATCTGGTGGGTGTATCTCCAGTTCTGCCCTTGCAGCTCCCCAGGCATGCGGTGCTCCGAGGAAAACCACTGCATGATTAGTGGCTACAAAAGCCTAGAAAAATGTATGTGTTCAGCCATGCTTTTTCCGCTGGAGTCCCAGGGATGCTTTGGAAAGCCCTCGTGCCCAGAGCGTGGCACACATCAGCGAGGAAGGCTTTGCTCCGTGACCAGCCACTGCACGACTGTGTGAGGCAATCTTGTCCTCCGAGGAGGAAGTTTAGCATCCAGTTTCCTGCCACACCTCAGTCATTACAGAAAACCCAGACAGAATCCCTTAAGCCAACCAAACGTACAGGAATGGAGATTTCCACACCAGCGCAGTTAACGTGCCTTCTATGGCCTGGAAGAATGTGGGTGCGTATTTACCTTGGAGATTATCTTTTACAAACAATTCCATGGCAGGAATTTTTAAACAGCTAGCTCCTGGGGCATCTATAATTTAATTTGAAAACTTTACAGACTTTAGTAAACACTTCTGAGGAGGAAGGACGCTAAAGCCGTTGCCCCAGTGATTTAATTGGAGTGGAGTTTAGTGAAGAACGAATCCCATTGGGCCAACAACAGGTCAGCTAAAATCAGATTAGGGTGAGTCTCATGGTTTAGCTACTGTTAGGTTATTGGTTAAGTAGAAGATAATAAGCTATTGGTTAATTACAGAGCGAAAACATGAAATGATTTTACTCAGAAGTGTGTGCCTATTTAACAGATCTGTAGAGACAGAAAGTAACTTAATGATTCCTAGCCCTGGAAGAGGAGTGGGCTGTGACTGTTTTTGTTTTTATTTTTGTTTTGAGACAGGGTCTTGCTATGCAGTTCAGGCAGGCTCTGAATTCACTATGTAGCCCAGGCTGGCCTCTAACCCACAGAAAGTTTCCTGCTTCAGCCTCCCAAGTCCTGGGATCACAGTGTGCACCACCACACCTAGTTTAGGTGACTGTCAGTGGATATGAGGTTTGTCTTAGGGGCATGAAGTTTTCTAAAATTAGACTGTGTCGATGGTTGTTCAACTCTGTGACTAACTGAGGAACACTGAATTGTATACTTTAAATGGGTAGACTGTACGGTATCTGAATTATATCTCTAAGCTTTTTGGGGGAGCAGAGGCTGGGTGTTTAGTTCAGTGGCAGAGCATTGGCTTAGCATCCACAAGGTCCTGGGTTTGAGCCTTAGCACTGGAGGAAAAACAAAAATCTTTTTTTGTTTTTAAATCAAAGCACTAACAAATTATATAGCCAAGGAGGACACGGTGCTTACTGGAAAGACTCAAAATAAAAATGGCCAACACTAGAATCCTCCCTGAACATGCAGGGGCCCTGGGCTCAACCCTAAGTAATGTTTAAAAGAAAAAAAGATTGGGAGGAGCCACAAGCAGTATCATACTTGATCAATTTGAGATACTGATCAATTTAAATATAAAAGAGCCAGAAAATACTGGCTCTTTTTTTTTTTTTTTTTTTTTTGTCTTTTTTCATTTTTCATTTTTATCGGTACCAGGGATCGAACTCACAACTGCCTTGCCTGCTTGCAAGGCAGGCGCTTATGCCACTGAGCTAAATCCCCAGCCCCCTATACTGGCTCTTTTAATCACAATATTTTTAAAGCAGACTATCAAAGCCTAATAATTGAAATTTAACTATCATGAATTAAAGTAGCTGACACAGGCAAAGTCATTGGATATTTGTGACACAATGATGCATCAAGTTCACTAAAGATTTATCTCGAATGAGAATCTGCAGTACTTACACAGTGATAAGAACTCTGGATTCTCACTGTCTGTCAGATGACTGTAAACCGCTGTAGCCCAGAAGGTAGAAGGCTGAGCATGGGGAAGGATGTGACCCCATTTTCATGGAGCACACGTGCTGATAAGAACATGGGCAGCCTGTGATGAGTGTGGAACCGGGCTGTGTGTAAGTAGCCCCACGTCTCCCAGCCCGTGCAGAAGAGGGAACCTGTCCTGTCCTGGGAGGGCAGGCCAGGCATCCTGGTCCCGTCCTCTTGCTAATTCCTCATGGAGAGCTGCAGGCTTGGACAGGGCTCGCTGGTGGTCATTGAGGGAGGTAGAGGACAGGAACTGGCCAGCAGGTAGAGGGGCCTCTGACCGTGGAAGGGACACAGGGCTTCCTCATGCACCAGGAGCCCCTGACCCGGCCCCGGCAGTGCTCTGGCCCTGCCCTCAGCAGTGCGCCACTTTTTTTAATTATTATTATGCCAATTCCAAAGAACTTTTTAAGACTTTTTTTCCCTAATCACCCTCCCTCTTCTCCCATGAAATAGTAATACCACAAATACACACACATTTATGTTCTGTGACTCCTCAAAGAGCCACAAACATTGTAGTATTCGCTATGCTTTTTTTCACACGCACCTCGCCCTACCATGAATGGGTTCCTGCCCACTGCTCACATGGCCCCAGCAGAGAATGCGCGTTCTGACTAAAGCGCAGACTCTGAGCAGGGCTTCCTGCTTGCTTGTGGAGTGACTGGTGAGGTTGGTCACATGTCATGTGACCTGATGTCCATCACTTCCAGAATAGCCTGACTCAGGTTCCAGCACAGTGAGAGGAATGTCCTTCAAAGTCACACTGTTCCTGCGCCATCTGTCCAGCCTGCCCGCTGCCCTCAGAGCTCTGCCACCACCTCCTCCAGGGTGCCAGCCCTCTGCCCAGTGGTGGAGAACAGAGTGCTCCATCAAGCAGCAGCGCCGAAGTGCAAGGCTTCTCCAGCTGTCTCCCGGGCCCACTGCCCCGGCTCTGTGCCTCTGACCCGAGGGCCTGTCAGTGTTCATGCCAGGCTCCTGGGCTCCACGTGAAAGCCTGTGGCTTTCCAGGCTTCTCTCACACCAGCGAGAGGGTCCTTTATACTTCACATTGCTTTAGGCCCCACACAAGCTCTCTAAAGACTTCAGAGTCTCTCCCCAACTCCACAAGGCGTAGGTTTCGGGCATCCCAGCACACACATGGCCACTGCTAGAGCTCTCAGGAGCCTGGCTGCCCTGGCCACCGAGGGTACAGGACACTGCCTCTGCCTCCTCCTGGCCTCATTCTTTCCTCCGAGCTGGAACAGAGCCAGTCCACCTCCCTGGGATCCTGCAGATTGTCCTGCAGGATGCTAGTAACTCTTTGTTCTTGAGAGCCCTGCCTGTCCCCTTCTGAGCTTTCATGGCAAAACTGAGCAAAATAAGGGCCTCAGAGATGAAACCATCACCACTGGCAGCACCTTTCTTGCACACTCACTGTGTGTGTGCACTGTGCTGTACGTGCATTTTACAGCAGCCCTAGAAATTGCCTTCCCATTGTACAGATAAACAAACCAACCAAAAAGGTACCAGAATAATGCTCCAGAAGTCACTCAGCTAGTAAGGGATGGAATCAGGTCTTAAACCCAGGTCTGTCTGTCCTCAAGCCATTTGTGTTTTGTACCAGTTGAGAATGAAGGTGTCCATTTATGTGAATAAAAATAAAAATGACAGAAGGGCTCTACTGCAGGGAAACAAGCACTGAATCTGCTGTTTTTAATTAGTGTGTACTAACTTCCAGATACTGGGTTACCCAGTGACATTTGCATGTATGTAACATACTTTGATCCTTAAAGGGTGAGAGGTGGGCTGGGCTGTGGATCAGTGGCAGAGCCCTGGCCTACCACACAGCATATGTGAGGCCTGTGCTCAAGGCCCAGGACAAAAAAAAGTGACAGCACTAACAAAAAGAAATAGAGGCAGGATGTAAATGCTCTTTCTGTGCCACTTCTCTCCAGTGCCCCCTGCCTATCAGAGATTAGCTCTTCTCGGAGGACAAAACATGACTAGTGCCAGTGAGGTCTCGGGCCTCAGCCTCAGCCTCCTACACACAGTGACAAGGCCGGAGCCCTGTCCTAGAGCTCAGACTCTCCGCAGAGCAGGACTGGCCTCCGGGCTGGCCTCGGGGTGCGTTACGGCAGCACCTGGCTCGGCTCCATGACCCACTCGCCCCTGAAGGCTTCTGACCTCAGCTTTATGTAGACAGCAATCCTGACCCTCTCTCAGTGGGACCTGGGCCCCAGGACGGCGCCAGAGACCCCAACATTTCACCTAGGCTCTCTTTCCTCTTTCCTGAGTCCCCCCAAAGGTCATTTTTTAAGCAGAAGAATCAGTGTGTTGACCTGGGATTTCGTCATGTTCCATCCCGTTTGATTTCACTGGTTTCGAAACCACAAGCTGGCTGGGGAATTCAGAGCGTAGGCTCCGAATAGTTCTGTGTAGGGAGAGGTTCTGAGAAGAAAGAAAAGTGGTATCTGCTGTCAGAAGGAATGTGTGAAGACATCTGGGAGGAATGCAGGACTCTAACCGTTAGGGTCCCTGGGCAGTTTGGGCTGTGAATCACCCTACGCGGGTCCAGATTCCTGACAAATGAGGCGTCGGGATGACCTCATCCCCGCGAGATCGGCCAGGGTCTGTTGTGCTGCCTGACAGGATCTTCCCTTGGGGATCTTCATCACAGGGAGCTTTTCCAAACCACACTCAATACCCGCCATTCCTTCTCTCCCGCTTTCCTGACAGCTGGAACTTGGTGAGCCAGGGCTGTCACAGGCTCTTCTGATCGCCTCCTTCCTGCAGGGTGCTCCTGGGACAGCACGTGCTCCTTGCTGCATCATCGGGCGGTGTAACCAGTCAGGACTCCCTTCAGCCGTGGGCTGGGCACAGCACTGGGCCTGGAGGAAGACAGAGCGCCAGGGTGGGTGGGCACCTGAGCTGGGCAAAGCCCAGTGCTCTGACAGCGAGCCGGGCCGTGAATGTGTGCTGACTAAGCCGGGGTCTGGAATGGCCTAGAACTTGACCATGGGCTTTGTTCCAGGACGGGGCCAGGCTGAGGTGTCCTGTGAACAAAAACCCAGAAGTAAATGGGAAGAAGCAAGAGGTAAAACGAAGCGCGGTTTGGGGAACTTTGTATGACGTGTTAGGAGTGAAAAATGTACCCTAAGGAAGATGAGAAACATTCAGAGGGCTTTAGGCCTGGAAGGGATGTGGGCAGATTGCCGCAGTGCAGACCCGGACCGAAGGGTCCCGCCTGCCGGGCTGGCAGTGTGCGCCTGTTATCCTAGCACTGGGGGGGGGGAGGGGCAGAGGTTGGGGGGTCCTGCAGGCTCCAGGCCAGCCTGAACTGCAGAGTGGGACTCCGTCTCAAAAAACAAACAGACAGAAGAAGAAGAAGGAAGGGAGAGAGACAAAGAGAGAGAGACAGAGAGAGAGAGAGAGAGAGAGAGAGAGAGAGAGAGAGAGAGAGAGAGTCCTGACCAGAGGCAGTGGCCAGGCAGGAAGGGAGCGTGCGCCCCCAGAGGTGATCTGCAGGAGGCAGCGGAAGTAGGGGTGGAGATGAGAGGACCTCAGAAACAGGATTTAACTGGACAGCTGGGAATTAACAGGCCGGGACAGAAATCCCAAAGACCCCGGGTTTTCGGTGTGGAGGGGCCACAGCGGACACAGCGAAGAGTCCCGCACTGGGGCCGTAGGGCCAGTCTGATGTGCTGAGGTAGAGCTGTCCACAGAGACAGGAGCCCGCGGACAGGCTCACAGGCAGAAGTACAGGAGCACACCTGGTTGGAGCATACTGTGAATATTGAAATTATTTTACTTATTACATTAAAAGACGCAGTGCCGTTAATGCCCTTCAGAATACCCTGCCCTACTTTGAACACACCTGCCGCATTTCCTGCACTCTCTGAAGTTATTCTGAAGCCTGAAGTCTCCCTGAGTTTTATTAGTTGCACCGTCCTAGCTGCCTCCAAGTCCCGAACTGGTTAAAAGTCTTGACTTTGGGGAAAAAGTCAAAGTCACAGTGTGCCGGATCCAGGAAAGAGGAGCTGAGGAGGCAGGAAGCCTGAAAGGAACATGGACTGCATCACCCCACATAAAGCCACGAAAGAGGACTTCCAGACCTGCCTGAGACAGTGCCAAGAACCGTGGCAAAGAGAGTGCGAAGGGGCTGCTCTGAGGTGGATTAGTGGGGACTGGAATGCACTCAGCAGAAACAAAATCATTTTTAATGTAAAGGCTCACTCTGCATGATCACCGCTTCTCAGGCACAGATGCAGAGCCTGGCTGCCGAGGTGGGTTTAGGACCGTCATCCCACCAGGTGAAGCTGTGGTAGCGGTTGGGACACCAGGATGATGGGGAGTGAGAACCCCAGGAACACCCGTGTCAGTGGTGCGGGAGGAGAGACTGAAGGACCGAGGGCCCAGCCGGGCACACCCCGCCCCACTTTGCTCTCTCCTGGACCCCATCTCCTCCTGCACCCTCCTGCCAAGCTTCCTGCACTGCTGAGGCCCCCAGACTCCATCCCAGCGCGTTCTCTGCCCCTCTGGTTCCTGCATCACTGTTTCTCCCCCTCTGACGCTCCCACCGTGCGGCACCATGAGGGTGAGCCGTTTCCGAGCCCCGCAGGTCCCAGGTGCCCCCCGCTCCCGGGATGGCTGCCACTGTCGCCCGTCTGGAACTACCTCAGCTCCGCGGTGGTGATCCGTGTCCTACTCCGACCGCACCGGCTCACCCACTGCTCCCGCATCGCCCTTTCCATAGTCATCTCCATTGTCGTCCTGCCTTGTGAGCACCTTCTGACCTTCCTTCCTTCACCTGGTTAGACTCTGACTGTTCATCTGAAAAATTCTTCTCTGAAATTTTTGATTCCCTTTTCCATCTACTTGTCCCCTCCACCTGCTCAGGACCACCCTAGTTCACGTTCTCTTCGGGGCTCTTGCCCCAAGCTGGTAGAGGAGAAAGGGACCCCTATAGAGGACCCTCGCAGGAGGCTCACGGTCCACACTCTGTCCTCCCCGCCGCTCATCGCTACAGAAAACACAGGCCCTCCATGGGGAAGTGGGAAAAGCTGAGCACTAGCCAGAGCCCAGTGTCTTTGCCCAAAAATAGCATCTCCACCTGTTCTGTTGCTGCATTCTCACAGATGCCCTTGCTACAGATCTTGACTGCCCTGTACCACCTTTTTTTTTCATCCGGCAAGTTGTTCATTTCCTCGAATCTCGGCTTCCTCCGCCCCAGTGTAAGGACCCAGAGGGTTTCTGCTGGCTGTTGTGGGACGCTGTGCACGTCAGAAGCTGCCCCTCTGGTGAGATAAGCGTGGCCTGCAGGCTCACATAGCACTGCTTGATGTCACCACACACCGTATGCCCCGCTGTGCCTTCCTCCAAAGGTCCTTGCAAAAACATGAAGGCAACAACATGAAAGCCCCCAGCAGAGGCCCTGACCTGAGAAGAATCTCCAGAGAGGAGCCACTGAAAACACGGACCTGTAGTGGATGTGGGTGAGGTGGCATGACCATCTGTCAGGCAGTGACTGCCGGCCCCTCAGGGTTTATAGCACGCTCTGTCCTTGCTGGAGCCCTGGGGGTGGGGTAGTGGGAGGGGCAGGGAGATGGACTGAAGAGGGTGGTGTTGGCCAGAGGGGCTGGTCGGAAAGGGATGGGCACCAAGCTCCCCACGGTGATTCTGTCTCAGGGCCGAGCAGCAGAGCTGCTGTGCTGATGCTACACCCCAACTCTGGCCTTAGGAGCCCCACCTCTCAGCTTCCTCCCCTGGGAAGGGGTCACCTTCCCAGCCACTCACCGCCCAGCACCTCTACACTGTCCTGCTCTGCCCGCTCAGATGTGAAGTCCTTTCCCTGTCCTGTCACTACACTGCTAGCCAGTGCCTCCCCGAGGACCACAGAGCAGAATTTCTCCAAACCCCAGACCATGAGGGGCCTCAGGAAACAGGGATTTCTGAATGCCACATCCATTCTGTGAAAGCAGCTCCTTCCTGAGAGGAGATCATTTTGAGAAGCAGTGAATAGTGGCCACACAGATAACTGTATGAAGAAGGATGAATTATACCACCACCCGTTGCGGCACAAAAATAATTCTCAGTGAAAGGTTAAAACCATCATGTTGTATCAATAAGAACTGTTCCATTATCCCAAGGATGACTGATTGGAAAGTACTTTACTTACAGGAACATCACAGTGATACAATACAGCTTCCACTTTTAAAGCACTTTCCTTTAAAAAAAAAATCATACCAACGTGTAAAAATAGTTACACTGAAGATGTGAATCAACAGCCAAGTAATTTACTGGCACTTGAAAGTCTTGTGATATAAATAGATTCAACAATGGGAGGATCAAGTCACTCTGGGCCGAGGCAACCTAACCTAACAGGAAAGTCGCACGTGGTCCAGCCAGGGCCATCTGGCCACCCCGGGAGATTCCTCACGATGGAACCAGGACTGCTAGGTCAGGTCAGGTTTCAAAGCACCAGGCCAGGCACTGGGGGAGACCCAGGCGACAGAGATGTGATCAACAGAGAACATTTCCCAGACTGCAGCCTGCACACAGCAAAGCGCAGTGTGGTCAGGAGAAAGGAGTACAAAGGACTGTCATGTACAGAAGGGAGGTCCTTTCTGCCTAGTGATTTCTTTTGTCCCCTGCTCCCCCACACACACCCGTCTGCCCGTGGCCCTCAGACCTCTCCTGGGTAACCGAGGTAAACAGCAAGGTGGCAGCGGGTCTGGACACACACAGCACCTCTGCTGTTCACCAGCTGTGTGACTGTGGACCAAGTGTCTAGGCTGTCTGATTCTGAGGGCGGCTGGGGACAGCAGGGGCCACTTGAAAATGCAGTGCAGCCAGTGTCCTATGCACGGAATAAAGGCCCAGCTTTGCTGCCTGATGGGAGCCCACGGTACTGTGTGCTCCCTTCTTGCCCCGCCCCTTCTCTGGAGCAGCAGGCCTTCCGACCCCTTGCCTGCTTAAATTCAGAGCTTAAACTCTCCGCTGCTGGGGGCCAGGAGCCACTCTGTGAGTGTGTGTCTGGCCCGACCACCGCGCCCTTTTGTGAAGAGCATGGAACCTGGGTGTCTTGCTTCTGGTGAGGCCAAGACCTCGGCAGGCAGAAGGTTCAGCCTCCTTGCTTTTAAGAGATGGTGTAACTATAAAGGATCGTCAAGCTGGATCGAGCCAATTCCTGACCTCTCAGAATGGTTTTGCACGTGAGGAGTGAGGAATGCCTGTCAGGATTCTGGCCGGTTGCACCATCACTGCAGTTCTTCAGCTGTCAGGGCCAGGAAGTGTCCTGCTGGGCCCCTCAGCTTTCAAGCTTAGGTCCTGGGCTGCAAAGGAAACTGCCCCAGGGACATGGGTGCTGCAGGAAGGAAGTCCCTCAGGTCACTCACACTCACCTGTGGCAGGTACCCACATACTTTTTTTAAGAAACTGGAATCAGGCAGAAGTGAAAGGTTGTCCCATTTGCAAATTCACATAGTGACTGGTCCCCAGGGTCAGGGATGTTTCTGGCTGTGGCTGGCTGGAAGGGTGGTTGGTTTGTTTCTGTGCTTGCTTGTTGAGTGAGGGTCTCATTATGTAGTTTAGGCTGCCTTTGCACTCCTTATATACCCTAGGTTGGCCTTGAACTTGCCATCTTAGTGCTAGAAATACAAGCGGGGGTGGGGGGGAGGCCTGGGGATTTAGCTCAGCGGCATAAGCGCCTGCCTTGCAAGACTGGTCGTGAGTTCCATCCCTGGTACCAGTAAAAATACAAAATACAAAAAAAAGAAAGAAAGAAAGAAATACAAGCGGGTACTACCATGCCCAGCTCCGGGTTTTAAATGCTTTACTAGTGATTTTAATTTTTAATTTAAAAATACCTCACCAGGCATAGTGGCACGCACCTGTAGTCCCAGCACTGAGGAGGCTGAGGCAGGAGGATGGCGGTGAGTTCAAAGCAAGTCTAAACAATACATAGCAGGATCTTTTCTCAAACACAAACACCTAAAGAGTTGCAGTACTCCCACACTCTTCACCTGGTTGCACCAGTGTTCACACTGTGCCACAGTGTGGCAACTCTCAGAGTACGTAAATACGCCCTCTTTTGGA